ATCTATCTCCATTACAGAGCCCTAGTTTTATGATGGCATAGGTTTTGCTAACCTAAAAAAAATAAACCAATCTCTGTATAGCTTTATCTAGAGCACACACAGTTTGATGAAAACATTTGCTTTACTTTAAGTCTATCTCTCTTGGCTGGTTAATATTTTGTTAAGATTACATGTCTTTGCAGTTTACATTTGATACCATAGGTGTAGCTCAACTTACTCACAATCATTCAAGCATAGAATCATTAAATTCCACATTGGGAACATTTACTTCTCAGAAGCATTATTGTTTCCACAAGCTATTGTCTTATGTATTAGAAATGTTACTTATGGCACTTTTGGGCTTCTGTATTGACTGTGACAAATTGAAAATACACATATTATACAGAAAAGCTGTGAAAACACTGACAAGATCTTTAACAGAAAAAACAGGCCTATGCAATCCATAATCAATCATGTTTTTAGTTTTGGAAAAATTCAGGTTTTAATTTGCACCATCCAACTAAATCAGTTTGACTGACTGCACAATTTTATAACTATATATAGGCTGCATTTTCGTTGCATTTGGTCATACTGCAGAAAAATAATACATAACCAGCTAAGAGGTTTTTTATATATACAATGGTCATGTTTTAGATTTTTTTAAAAGATTTAGTTTGGTGAAACAAAATTATGTTGTTGTTTTTTTTCATTGTGTGTAGATTTAGTTTGTTGCACCACATTACCCCACAATATAAAAAAACACAACAAACATTCTTGAAGTGCTTTATTATATATTTCTTATGTAACATCATTATTATGGTTCATATAAGCACACACATATTGCAATAATATTTTCTGTGCATAGATATGTAACGCAAGTACACAAAATAAACATTTACTATAAACAGGCAGTATAATGTGTTGACAGGAACTGTGTCTGCTGGTTCTACCTGTGAGACAAGTTAGTCCAGTTTATACATGTCTGTATTCTTGCTTCATTCACATATGTCTGATCTAAAACATGGATTATGTCTTAATCAGAATTTTTCCAAATTGATTCACTTAATCTGCACAAACCTTTTCCTCTCTTGAATTTTACAACTTTACTGAAGTGTAAAACAATTCGTATTAACCAGCTGGTAAGGTCGGCCAGAAATGAGCTTCAGCTGCAATTTCTGCTTTAATTATTTTACAGGTAATAAAAAAAAACACTGGTCTGTTCATTAAGTTTTCAAACCTACTGTTTAAATCACTGATCGCTGTTCCTAAACAATAGTTTTTGTTTTTTAGGCTTTAAAGGATCTGGTGGATTGAATATTCTTTGCATTTTTCAGCTTCTGACACCAATCAGAATATGCAAAATAAACATTACAGCCCAAAGTTTCGACAAACCTGCTCAGAATCATGCGACAACAAAGTTGATGACACAATTTTGTCTTTGCTTGTCCACAGTTTAAACTACGAGTTGAAACAGTATGAGAAACAGAGAGCACTTTGTAAAATAAATCTTAGTATTGGAGAGGGTGTTCGATGAACAAGGAACATGTTGGGGTTTTTGCACTCATCCCATTCAGAAAAAAAAATCGAAACCATTTGGTGATGTAGTCAGAAATTCCCCACATAACTGAGACAGGCAATTGTCTCAAAATCACTGTACAATAAGAGACAAAAATGTATTTTTCAAGGAATTTCATAATATTGGAAAATTAATTATCTGCTGTATATACAAATTATAGTCTTTATGAAAGATAAGTTATGCACTGCGATGGTTGTGGTAATAAACTATACTCAACAGAAAAAAATTATTTCAGGCCTGGTGAAAATGTATAAAATAAACAACAAGCAAAATAAAATCTCAAATAAGAAAACAGAAAATATTCACAGCCAAAGATCATTTTTTATGCAATTACCTCTCCAACTTCAAAGCCTGGTTACGCTCAGAGAAACGCATGTCTCTCACCTGATCTAACAGCTGATTGAATACATGAAACTATAGGCTTGAAGGGGACACATCATGTAAAATCCTCGTTTTTAGCTGTTAAAAGCATTTTATTGTGCAATTAGAGTCTGTAATGCAGAAATTTTGAATTTTGTTTCTCCTGCTGCTGCGTAGATGCATCTTTATATTCTGTTTGGGTCACATTTTTCATCCCGTTCAGTTTTCTCTTTTTTTTCTATGATGTTTTCTGAACTATTATGGTACATCACAGTTTTTGTGACAAGACTTCTAAATAAGGCCAGGATTTACCAACTACAATTTGATCATCTTCTCTGGCTCCAACATGTAAGTCTGAATGGGCAAATCTCCCCTTGTTGACATCTTTTAAGTAGTTTGTAAATAAAAAGTTTCTGCGCTGCTATACAGTCGACTAGAACTAGAATGCACCACTCTGGTAGCTGGAAGGGGTCGGGTTTGAAGCGTCTTGTTTGGATTTAAAGTGTGAGACAGCCTAAAAATGAGTTGATCTGAGACACACCTCAAAAAAGTGGTGAAAGAGGGGCTTGTGGAGTTACAATAAGGAGGAAGTCAGACCAAAGCATTACAGTTCCACTTTATGTAGACCCCAACTGAATGATTTAAATGTGAAAAAGGAGGATTTAAACGCATGATATGACTCTTTTAATATTATGCTGCTTAAAAAAAAGACAATGCCACGTTTTAGCCGTGACTTTTCCATCCTTTACCAATATGTAGTCAAGATTCTTTGATCTGCTGGACACTGCTTATTGTTTATTGGCCATGCATTATTCGTTGCAGTCAGTAAAGGGGCAGTTGGGTCTGGACCGCTCTGTTTATCAGTAGCCTGGGGCAAAAGGTGGAGGCGGGTGATACTCTTGAGGCAACACTGGATGATTCTGTTCTATAACTGTTCTGTCACGAGGCGGGCTGCCGAGGTTTTGTAGCCCGGTGATCTCCTGGTATTCATTGTCAGCAACGTCACATCGCTCATCTGGGCCATCAGAAATCTCTGAGTACACATTTTCTGAGTTAGTCACATCCTGTGGCTGGTTTGTCTTCTTTTGGAATTTCTTCTTGAGGCTCATTAGGTTGGAGACGACTGTTGGCTTCCACTCGTGGTGCTTCCCAGGTGGGGCATTGGTGCTGATGTTTCGCTCGGGGGCCATCGGGACAAACAAACTCTTGGGTGTACAGATGGGTTTGTTGCAGGCCTGGTTTTGCTTCGGAGGAGCCCTGCTCCGAGTAGGGAGTTCAGGAGGCTGATGTGATGGAAGGTCATTGACTTCTAATCTCTTCCTGGACTTTGCAACAGGCTGCAGATCAGAATCATAAAGCATAAATCACTTTTGTAAGGAAACTATTAAATCCAAAAGCACATGAAAAGTTCTTTTTAAAATCTAAAACACAGCTCTGAAACATGAAGTGCACTAAATTCATGGTTAAAGAGTTTGTAGAGGAAGTTACTGTTCAGTAGTTCAATACCGGCTGCACAACAATGAAATCAAATATCCTCATTACAGATTTTATTGTTTTTTTTTAATTTTTACAATGAGTAAATTCTTTTAAACTTTTTAGCATGATCTTTTTACGAGCTTGCATAGACAATCGGGATAGCTCTGTGCAAACTCACACCAAATCCCCACTTTTTTATTAATAACTTTAAAAAAACCAATTTCCTGGCATTTAAATAAAAAAACTCAAGAGCAATTGGTGCATGCCTCTAGCAAAGTAGATCAAATTACTTGGATAAGTCATACAAGCAGCCTCAAATCTCAGTTCATCACTGGATTTAAGCAAAAAAAACATTTTCTATTAAATAGTACATCCTTTATCTACAAAGAGAAACAGCAACAGGGATTTATTTTGAAGAAAAAAATAAACAATGTTGGGTGAAAAACTGACTATTTTCCTTTAAACTGTCTCTTTGTGTAACATTTAGTGAGGGTTTTTTGGGAATGCCTGGCAGAAGAACCCATCAGAAAGATCTTCAACTCACACCTCTGAGAGAACTTCAACCTGTTCTCCTATGTTTGTTGTGTTCTGTCTTCTTGTGAATGGGTGTTCTGAACTGTAATTTCATTGTGCTCTGTTCAATGACAATAAAGGTCTATCTCATCTCATCTCATCTTCACTACATCCCAGCCAAGGCGGGGGACATTGTGTCCAAATGGGTCATGCTCTACACCTCAGTTGTTGAGGTGGCTGCCTTCAGCTGTGGCCTCAACATTGTCAGTGCTTCTTGCATTGGCCATCCTCGAACTCGGTGGTGGACAACCCGGGTAAAGGAGGCTGTCAAGCTGAAGAAGGAGTACTTTTGGGCCTTGTTGGCTGGTAGGACTCCTGAGGCAGCTGAGGAGTATAGGCAGGCCAAGCGGACCGCAGCCCTGGCCGTTGCTGAGGCAAAAGCTGGGATGTGGGAGGTGTTCGGTGAGGCCTTGGACAAAGACTCTCGATCGGCTCTGAGGAAATTCTGGCAAGCCATCTGACAGCTGAGAAGGGGGAAGCAGCACTTCACTAACACTGTGCTCAGTGAAGGTGGGGTGCTATTGACCTTAACCAGTGATGTCGTCAGGAGGTGGAAGGAAATACTACTCAGACCTCAATTCCACATCTTCTATGGTAGAAGCAGAGTCTGAGGACTTCGGGGTTGGTCCATCCTTAACTGGGGCTGAGGTCGCTGAGGTAGTTAAAAAGCTCCATGGAGGCAGGGCTCCAGGGGTAGATGAGATTCGCCCTGATTTCCTCAAGGCTCTGGATGTTGTGGGGCTGTCCTGACTGACATGCCTTTGCAACATTGTGTGGATATCGGTGGCAGATTGGCAGACTGGTTCTGGTTCCACTCTTCTAAAAGCGGGACTGGAGGGTGTGCTCCAATTACAGGGCCATCACTCTCCTCAGCCTCCCCAGTAAGGTCTTTTCAAGGGTACTGGAGAAGAGAGTCCGATCAATAGTCAAACCTCAGATTCTGGAGGAACAATGCGAGTTCCGTCCTGGCCGTGGAACACTGGACAAACTTGATTTTCAGCTCTCATTAGAGTGGTTCACAGCTGAGTGTGAAGCGGCTGGGATGAGGATCAGCAACATCAAATTTGAGTCCATGGTCCTCAGTCGGAAAAGGGTGGACTGCTCTTTCTGGGTTCAGGATGAAATTCTGCCTCAAGTGAAGGAGTTCAAGTATCTTGGGTTAATGTTCACGAGTGAGGGAAGAATGGAGCTTAATGGAACGGTGCAGTTCCGCAGTTTTGCAGACTCTGTACTGGTCTGTTGTGGTGAAGAGGGAGCTGAGCTGAAAGGCAAAACTCTCTGTTTACCAGTCAGTCTACGTTCCTACCCTCACCTATGGTCACAAACTTTGGGTAGTGATCAAAAGAACAAGATCGTGGATACACGCGGTCGAAATGAGTTTTCTCCGCAGGGTAGCTGGGCTCTCCCTTAGAGACAGGGTGAGAAATTCAGTCATCCGGGAGAGACTTGAAGTAGAGCCATTGCTCCTCCACATTGAGAGGAGCCAGTTGAGGTTTGGGCATCTGGTTAGGATGCCTCCTGTACGCCTCCTTGGGGAGGTGCTTCAGGCATGTCCAACTGGGAGGAGACCCTGAGGAAGACCCAGGACACCGTGGAGAGACTATGTCTCTCAGCTGGCCTGGGAACACCTTGGAGTTCTAGAAGAGTTGAAATAGGTAGCTAGAGAAAGAGAGGTCTGGGCTTCCTTACTCAAGCTGCTGTCCCCATGACCCGACTTCAGAAAAAACAGGAGACGGATGGATGGATGGATGGATGGATGGATGGATGGATGGATGGATGGATGGATGGATGGATGGATGGATGGATGGATGGATGGATGGATGGGTTAAGTGTCTTGCCCAGGGACACAATAACAGTATGTACTCAGGCAGGGATTTAAATTTTAATTTTAATAGAACAAAGGAACTAAAAGTCTAAAATGTTCTAACTTAGTTCTTAACTGAAATGAGTTCATGTTAAAATCAGGAGGACTGATCAGAATCCAAACAAAGACTTGCAATAGTGCTGAAACATGTCTCAAATACCTATACCTAGTGTACAACACTAGTAAGACTAAAAATATCATTATTTGTCTCTTTGCAATGGTTTTGGGGCGGCTGTGGGAGAGTGGTTAGGGGAGTCATCCTGGAACCGGAAGGTCGCTGGTTCTATCCCCGTCCAATCGACTCAGTCGTTGTGTCCTTGGGCAAGACACCTTACCCTCCTTGCGTACTGATGGTGGTCAGAGGGTCCGGTGGCGCCTGTGTATGGCAGCCTCACTTCTGTCAGTGTTCCCCAGGGCAGCTGTGGCTACAATTGTAGTTTATCATCATCAGTGTGTGAATGTGTGTGTGCATGGGTGAATGTCTGTAGTGTGAAGCACTTTGAGTGTCCTGGATGGATAGAAAGGCGCTATAGAAGTACAGTCCATTTACAATTTTTAAAACCGTTTATCACCACCTACCATATTGGGGTGTGGGGTGTAGTTTTACAGTCTGTTGGTGGAACAAAAAAGACACAAACTACACAAACGGCCAAAAAATGTAACTGGTAATTAAAGCCTTTATGTAGTGGAGTAAAAGTAAGAAGTAAAAAAATGCTACTCAAGTAAAGTAAAAATTTCCAAAAACTGTTTACTTAAGTACAGTACTCAAGTACTGGGGAAACAAAGCAGCCACTGTTCAAAAGAAAGTCCCAACACAGACGAGCTAMWTCTAATGGCCAGAACTCTGCAGTTTTCACTCATTTACAGGCCAGCGGTCACTCTTTCAGAGATGAGGAYGTTCTCATTCTTGATAGAGAGGAACGTTGGTTTGAGAGAGGAGTAAAAGAAGCCATTTTTGTGAAGAAAGACCGTCCATCATTAAACAGAGGTGGAGGCCTCCGTTTTCAGTTGTCCCCCGCCTACAGCGCGGCTCTTGCCAGTATCCCTCCACCCCCTGTTAACAATAAGTGTTAATTAGGTGTCAACGATAGCCATGTGATGTGAGTATCAGTCACATGGAGGCAGGGCTTAAAAGCCTGAATTTTGCCTGAAACTCTCAGACTGAAGAAGTCTCTTGGAGGAGAGACGAAACGTTTCATTAGAGAAGAACCCGTCCAGAAGACCTACACAATTTTTTTCTTTTTGATTTTTTACCTGGATTACTGAGATGCATCAGGATAGTACTCAAGTAAATTTACTTTGTTACTGCTCAACTTTTGAACATTTTGCACTTTTTGAAATTTATTTATTTATTTATTTTAGTCAGAACCATTGGGACAGTCTTTTTAAGAACTGCTTTGATCAGTATATACAGTATTCATCAGTACAGATCAGGATATGAGGTCATATTACCGAGATTGGAGGTAGAGAGGCGACGTGAGGGAATTCAAGTTCCAGCGATGGATAAAGCCTGCTGAGACGGCTGTTTGGAAGCAGGACTGTAGAGTCTCTCAGGTCATTCGGTCGAAAAGGAAGGGCCGGAGGGATCTCGTCCTCTGGTTCTGGTTCTGGTTCTGGCTGACTCAGACTGGGTTGTGGAGGCTCCTTTGTGGGTGAATCGCTGTTGGAGGCCAGATGTTTGTTGGGAAACTGTATCTGTGCATAGTCTGCATAGCTGTTTGAGGCCTTCCATAGAATAAAACAGAAACAAAAAGACAAAACATGTTTATTTATTTTATGATTAGGATTTTGTACAGTACAGGTGTGTGCATCTTTAATGAATCCACCTGTGTGTGATTTTCTCACCTGTCCACAAGGTACAGTCAGGACCTGATTGAAGGGCATGATGGGATTCCTGCGATGAAACTCCACCAGGTCCTGCAGACTGCGGTGCCGCCTGTTCTCTCCCACTATCATGTACTGACCAGCCATGAGGGGGTCAATCATGAAATGTCTGCAGCGTTTGTCTGCTCTGAGGGGGGCAACACCAGAGAGAAAGAGTGAGCTGTGCATAACTTTAACCTTTTTTAGACTGAGTGTGTGTGGGTAAATCCTGCAGAAACACTCACTGATATGAGAGCGTGTATCCAATTCTGCTCTCGCTGACTCTGATGAGGAAGTAGCCAGGAGGCTTGGACATGAGCAGTTCCTCTGCCGTCCTACACAAATCACCACAGACAAAGGCCTCTTTCAAACATGCACACTTTAATCTGCAAACTTTGCTTTCTGCAGAAAATGTAATGGAGCTGAAATGCAAAAAACTCCAGTCAATTTTACCAGTGTAAAACTTGATGACCCTCACAGTCACTTAATGTCACCTTCACACACAGATTAAACAATCCAGAACAAAAACTATCAAAGATAAAGCAGTATTATTTTAATAGTATAGCTCAGGAACCATAAAGACATCCTGTTTTGCTTCAAAGCATTTAGATGATGATGGCGGCTTATACTCTTGCACAAAACCACGTGAGGATTGTAACTTTTATTTCACTTTTTTTCCTTTACAAAACATGACCCATAGAAATGAGATGTTTTCATTTCCTTTAAAAGCGTTGTCTGAAATGTACAACAGGACACATGCTTTATTTATTTTATTTTATTGTCTTCTTTTAGCTTCTTTTAGCTACCATTTTCCACATTTTAACTTTTATCTATAGTTTTGCTCATCTTACCTTTTAGCTTTGGTTTTGCTATTTTTTACATTTAGATGAATTTTTGCTCATTTTAGCTTTTGGCTAAAGCTTTGCTAAATTCTGCTTTTAGCTACTACTGTGCTGATTTTAGCTTTTAGCTAATGTTTCACTAATTTTAACTTTTGTAATTAAATTAATAAATGCTTCATAAAATTCTAGAAGTCATTCAGCACTCAGGATTCACACTGCATTTAAAATATCTTTATTTTTTACGTTGTTCAGTACAACACTTGTGTTTCATTTGTGATTTTGACTTTTCAAAGCAGCAAAATTAAATCATTTCAGTTCTGGTTGGTTTTGCGAAACCTAATTCTGCAAAAGGAAGTTTGTTGTTCTAGTCAGGAAATCTGGCAGCAGGTAGTAAAACAAAACAAAACAACAAAAAAAAAACTTCATTAACTGTCCGTTATCCATCACTCTGTACATGAGACAGTTCTATGCTGAGTGAGTCATAAATCTGCATACAGCACTGATTAAATAATAGCTTTACAAAAAAGTTAGAAAATCCTGGTTGCAGATCTTTTTGTTTCATTTATTGAAATAACGGTACTCTCTGCTATGTTTCGAACAGCTGAAAAACATAAAAACTTGTTTGTCTTCTTGTCGTCTCTTTGAGACTTGAGTTGTGAGCCAAGCTAAATGAAAAGCACATTTTCTTCACAATAAAAGTCTATTTTTTTTGCCTGGTAACAAAACACTGTCATGGCATTCTGCAAATTAGTTTATTTGTTGCTGCTAATGCAAACCAAACATTTCTTTCAGCTGCAGCTTTGTGTTATGAGCTTTTCACTTTATTTAACCTCTGCAGGTGCAGAGTTTAACTTATTGATTTATAAGGAGCTAAAGTTTGCATTTAAATGAAAAATGCTCAAGATTAAAATGTTTATTTGAGCAATTTCTTACGTTTGTGTTATGTGATTTGTGTGATATATTTTGAAGATTTAAGACTTCCAGATTAAAATTTCTAAATGATAGCATGACATTTCTGCTAAGTGCCATAAACAGACTTAAAACTTTCTCAACTCCTGGATGACACCACTAGAGCAGTTTTGTCAGAACACACTCCATGCTGAGATGGTAACATCTTTATGCATCTATTTTTTTTAAAACATCTCTGTATTCTTCTTTAGTTGGCTGCTGTAGACACTGATAGACTCAAACTTACTTCCTGGAAATGATCCCATGAAACCAATCGGGGACTGCACCATTCCTGAACACTGACTGGAGCTGCGACTCTTTGAACCAGGTGAAAGGATCGTGTTGTTCTTGTGATGACTGACTCCACTCCATCATCCTGAGACAAGAGGAGGGGTGGTGGGGGGTTAAAAAATCATTTAACCCTGTAGGAAACGACCTCCAAATGACTTCTGAACAGCCCAGTGACTCCATACAATAGATGCTTGTACATTCTGTGCTCACAGTGAAAACCACAAGCTCAATAAATACCCCTTTTTTTGGTTGTTAGATCACACTGTTCCTCCTTCAGGTGAAGCTTTTTACCGTGATCACTGTTCCTCTTTTCTACTTTTCATAAGAGAAACAATTCCAGTTAATTATTTGCTTTAGAAGACCAAACATTAAACTGCATATTTTTACAGAAGTGAGTAAACTTTCACCCCATAAAGGCTCTACAATGTCACACTCTTCTGCATCATTTTCAGTTTTCCACTTTGTGTCATTAAAGATTTGCTTTCATCTGATTTATCTTTGCAGGTGAACATTAACAGAGTGTGGAGGTTTCTTAATAACACTTAATAAATTCTGAATCTAAACACAGCCCACAGCAGCAGTTACTCACCTGGTGTGCAGCTTGGTGGCGAAATGGCCCTGCAGAGCTCAGTCACCTGACAACACCTGAGCAGGGGCGGAGGCAAACTCCCCCTGGAGCCAGACGCAATTCAGACGTCACATTAGTTTTACATAGAATGCTGCGTAATGTAGCCGAAAATAAGCAGGTCTAATTACATCTGCTCTGTGGTCACATCATCTCTGAATATGATGTATATTTAGACTTTATGGGAACAATCATGACTGTGTATTTGAAAGTGATTTTACATTTTGGAAGAAAACAAAACGTAGATGAAGTCTATGTTTTTGGCACGAAACGCTGCAAAAATAATGCCGAAGTGTTGATGTCACGCAACATTTAAAGGTTAATCTTTACAATTACGCACTAGGTACCTTTATAAAATGTTTATTCATGTTTTATTAATATATTAGTCACACATTTTGAAAACATTTTATAAAGCATTAATACGACTGTTACCATAAAGCATTGTTTATTGGTCATTTAAACAAGCTCACTATTTGACACGATCAAGTGCTGTCAAGTAAATGTAGTTTTTATTTTTATTTTGAATCTGAAAACACTCCTTGTGCTTACATTATGTAAAATCTGAATTGTGAAGAAAACAGGTGAACAGCATCCATCCATCCATCCATCCATTTTCTGTACACGCTTCTTCCTTTTCAGGGTCGCGTGGGTCACTGGTGCCCATATCCAGCAGTCACGTTGCGAGTGGTGGGGTACACCCTGGACAGGTCGCAGGTCCATCACAGGAACACACCGAGACAAAAAGCCTTCACTCTCTCTGTCACACCTAGGGACAATACAGAATTACCTAAGAGTCATGTTTTTGGTTTGTGGGAGGAAACTGGAGTAACCAGAGAAAACCCACACATGTATGGAGAGAACATGCAAACTCTACCCAGAAAGGTCTCCAGCCTGGATTTGATCCAGCGACCTTCTTGCTGAGAGGCATCAGCTCTACCAACTGAGCCACCGTGCCACCATAACAGCTAATTAGTGATTTAATAATTGCTTACAGCCTAATAATACCTGTGTTATCAAGTATCCATTGTCCTCTTCTTCTTTGCAGGGTCACGGGGGTCACTGGTGCCCATGTCGAGCAGTCACTATGCGAGGCGTGAGGTAAGACACGTTGAAAGTTCACTATGGGTTTATTAATCATTTAAAAGGGAACCCTGACTGCAGAGTGATTGTAATTTAATGATAGGTTTAGTGATAGGTATAATATCGATCTGGAAAATGACTAAACTGTGCCACAGAGTTGTTGGCTCTCAGCAAGAATGGGATTGAATCTCAGCCGGGGACTTTAATGGGTAGAGTGTACATGTTCTCTCCGTGCATGTGGGTTTTCTTCAGGTACTCTCCTTCCACAGACCAAAAACATGAACTTTAGGCTAATTGGCTAAATTATCCCTAGGTGTGAATGATTGCTTATCTCTATATGACCCTGTGATGGATGAGCGTCCTGTCCAGGCTGTACCCCGCTCCTCACAGAGTGACTGCAAGATATGGGCACCAGTGACCCCCGCAACCCAGAAAGGAAGAATTGGGTAAAGATAATGTATGGACGCGAAAAGAAACTAAAGTGTCCTATAAAGCAAAGGTTGTCAAACTGGGGTCCGTCAGCTGTAGCTTGGAG